GAGCCCGCGGTGGACCATGCCATGCCATGCCAACGCAGAGTCTTTCATGTGCCCACGGCATGTAGCACAGAGAGAGGTACCGGTTACCGACGACGGAGCCCCAGCACTTGTCGCTCGCCGATATCGACACAGGCTTGCACACTAGGCTTGCCCTCGCTGCCGCCTTTGGCAACGGCAAGCGAGGCTGTGCTGCGCGCCCTCCTCTTTCTGCTGTCATGAATGCTGGCCATGTCTGAATCTCGTGCACCTGTAATCCAGAAGCTGTTTTTACAGAAGCTGACGGGGCTGAGCACCAGCGAGCAGACGACAGCTCAAGCATTGGCCAAGCACAGCAGCCTGCGCAAGATTGGGATCGGCAGCGGGATGCGCCTCCGCCTCTGCGCCCGTGCTAGCGCCAGCACAAATGCGCGCATCCGCCGCTGGTCACCCGCAGGCAGGTGCAGCACCAGGCAGCGCGCCTGGTCCTCTGAGCGCGCCAGGGCAGCTGCCAGCGCTGTGCCCAATCCGGAGCAGGGCCGGGGCACCATGGCCCACTCTTGATCTGTCAATGCCCGGCTGGAGAGGGTTTCCAGGATGCAGCCTACAATGAGGGGCGATGCCACGGTTGGGATGCGCCTCACAGCCCCTCCCAAGGCACGCAGAGCGCCAGCTGGCGTGTCGGCCCTGACCAGGCAGCGTGCAACTGCCACAAAGCTGGGATAGGAGGTCGCCACCAGTTTCTGCAGGCAGGCATCCAGCGGCGTTTGGCCCCGGTAATCGCGCTTTGTAATTGTGTGACCTGCTGCACGCAGCAGTTGCTGCACTGCTCCCGCAGAAAAATGTTCAGCAGCAAGATGCAGCGGCAGCTGGCCTCCGTTGGTATGGCTCCATGCTGCAGCTGGCCTTGCCGCCAGTAGCAGCTGCATATCTGCTGTGTGTCCGCGGCTGGCCGCGACATGCAGCGGCATCCACTGCTGATTATCTGCTTGTGTGATAGTGTCTGGCGCAGCAGCTATTAACAGCTTCACGCCCTCGGTCAGCCCAGCCTCGACAGCCCGGAAGAGAGGCGTCACGCCCCTGAAAGCAAATGCTGCTGCTGCAGGCACAGCTGTTATGATCGCCTGAATGACATCCATATTCGCAGCTTCAGCAGCTGCCTCAAGTGAAGCAGCTTCAATAGCGACTTCCATCAGGGTGTTGCCCTCCCCATCAATAGCTGTTGCGGTGTGTGGAGCTGCCGCCAGCAGCAGCCGCAGGGCGGCTACCTGCCCATTGAAGGCGGCAATGTGTACCGGCAGGTCGCCATAATAGTCTTCCTTTGCTGCAGCCTGTACTTCTGCAGCCAGCAGCATCTGCACTACTTCAGCATGCCCCTCTTCTGAAGCCTTATGCAATGCCAGCTGGCCGTAGTGGTCTGCCACCAAGGCTGCGCTGCGCTCTGCTTCCAGCAGCAGCCGCACGACTGCAGTATGGCCTTTGGCTGACGCCATATGTAGAGCCAGTCGGCCGCGGCGTCCTTTTCTCAAAGCTGCGCTGGGCTCTGCTTCCAGCAGAACCTGCACTACTTCATCCTGTCCCTCGGCAGAAGCCACATGCAGGGGCAGCAGGCCGCAGTCCTCGCCTGCGACCAAGGCTGCGCCGGGTGCTGCCTCCAGCAGCAGCTGCACCGCTTCCAGTTGGCCCTCTTCTGCAGCGATGTGCAGCGCCGTATAGCCATGCACATCAAAGATCAGTGCTGCCTCCGGCTCTGCTGCCAATATCTGCTGCACAGCTTCAAGCCATTCCTCCTCAACAGCTATGTGCAGTGCCGTGCTGCCGTGGCTGTCAAAATCATAAACATTACTGAACCCACCCAGCAGCGCTGGCAGCACCGCAGTCTGCCCATGCCGCACTGCGCAGTGCAGTGGACTATCGCCGGGGAATGTGTGTCCTCTGTAGAAATCTCCTGCTATTAGCAGCTCCACCACTTGGCTGTGCCCGGCTGCCGCTGCCGCGTGCAACGGCGTCGCTTCATCCATGTAAAAGTCGTCGCCATATCCCCTGCTCGTCCACAGCGCAGCGTGGGGCACAATGTCCACAAGCAGTCGCACAATGTCGACATGCCCTGCTGCCGCAGCCATGAGCAGCGGCGTGGCGCCGTCGGCAGTAACCATGTCACAAGAGGTAGGCGCTGTCTCTACCAGCAGTTGGGCCACGCTCAGGTGCCCGGCTGCAGCCGCAGCGTGCAAAGGAGTGGCGCCGCTGCTGTCTCGCTCCGCTGCCATCTCTGGCGCTGCGTTCAGCAGCAGGGCCACCGCTTCTGTGTTCCCGGCCGCGGCAGCCAGATGCAGCGGGGCTGCCCCATCTGCATCCCTGGCACTTGCTGTGCTGGCGGCGGACACCAGCAGCAGCTGCACCGCTGCGGGCTGCCAGCTCTGTGCTGCCAGGTGCAGGGCGAGCTGATCCTGTGAGTCTGCCACCCAAACAGTGCTGGGTGCTGAGCCGACCAGCAGCTGTATCACTGGCACGCGGCCCATCGAGGCTGCTTTGTGCAAAGGGACCCTGCCCATACTGTCTGCAGTGGTAAGCAGCTCGGGTGCTGCACCCAGCAACTGCTGCACAACAGCAGTGCTGCCGCACTCGGCTGCTGCGTGCATCAGCGTGCTACCTTGTGCGTCTGTTTCCAGCGGCGCGCCGGCAGGCAGTAGCAGAAGGAGCAGCTGGGTGCTGCAGGCGTGCCCCCGCCCAGCCGCTGCGCGAAGCAGGCGTGGTCCAGGCGCCTGTGCCTCCTCGTCTTCTGCGGCAGGTGAAGCAGACAGGCCAGAGACTTGGCACTGGCACTCTGCGCTGCTGACATTGCTCGTCCGCCTCATGCTCATAATGGATAAAAGGCTGTAGTAGGCAGGATATCTGGCCTCACCTGCCTCCTCCCGCATGACGCGCACGCAGTCCCTGAGCTGGCCCACCAGCTTCTGAAAGCCCGTGCTGTTGAGCCCCGTGCATGTGTCTGTGCAGAGGGACAGCTGCAGGCTGCAGAGCATTGTGAGGTGGTAGGGTACCAGGCTATTGACGGACGGTGGCGCGCAAACGCCAAGTCGATGTGGGTGCCCGCTGTTGAGGCTTCCTCGCTAGGTGCCCTTAGGCAGCTCACCTGGGCAGCACAACCGCCAGCTGCGCCAGCGGGCCCGTCTGGTTGTGCAGGCATGAGAGTTCGCCCAGCGTGCCCCTCCCATCCAATGCTGCCTTGACTGCAACCAGGCAGGTGCGGCAGGCGAGGCGGGCGGGAGTGGGTGCACAGGGGTGAAGACCGAGCTGGGTGCTGCAGCCAGCAGGCATCCGCGAGCTCACCTCTCAGCACATCCAGCACAAGGTTGACCTCGTCCTCGGAGCGCAGCGGCGACACAAGGTGGTCCGCGCCGCCGTGATTGAAAACAGCCGCCTGCGGCAGCACGCGGAGAGCAGGAAGCGGCGGTCGGTTGGCTCGACAGGCATTGCGAGCACTAGTGCAGCCTGGTGGAGCGCCTGCTGCTGCTGGTTCCCAGGGCCCAACCTTGAAGCGTGGATGCACTGCGGGGGGCGAGACCCGCACTTGAGGCAGCGGCGACCGCCGCCGCTGCCGCCACCTCCATCGAGCAGCTCACTGCAGCATGCATGAGCTTTGATGGGGTAGTGACCAGCTCCCTAGATACCGCTGGTATGCCAGTCCGGCAGGCGGGCCCTGCCCGACCGCCAGGCTGGCAGCGACAGGCATGCAAGGACCCGCTCACTTCCCGTCTCCGCCGGAGGAGACGGCGGGCCCTGAGCCGTCGTGACTTCACCCTGGCTGTTGCACTCAACCGCCAGATGTGTGCCGCCGCCCGGCGGCACAAGCGCCAGGTGAAGCGCAAGAGGGGTCGTGACCTGGCACGGCTCGAATTCGATGCCCCGGCTGCCTTCCACAGGCTGCTCAAGGGCAAGGGGGAGGGCGCGGACCCCTCCATCACGGCCGGTGATTGGAACGGCCACTTCCGGTCACTATTGGGCTACACACACGTGGCTGCCGCGGGCAGGTCCGCCCCTGCCGCCGCCGCGGGCGCGGCGCAGGCGGCGGGCGCCGTGGCAGGCCGTGCTCATGCCTCACAGTTGACACCGGCACATCAACAACTGCATGAGCCATTCACTCTCCCAGAATTGACGGAGATGGCGCAGCGAGCGAAGAACAGCAAAGCCAGCTTGGGTGCCCTGAAGCCTGAGATGCTGAAGGGTGCTATCAAGCAGCTAGGCCCTTCGCTCGTCGCGCTGCTTAACGCCTGTGTACGGATTGGGGCGTTGCCGGCCCAGTGGGCGATCAGTGCGCTGAC